TGAACTAGGTAATATACATGAAGATTTCATAACCTTCAGTACTCAAGTCTAAAGCATTTGTGAATTCTTTTAAAAACTGGATGGCAAGACCCTACCAACTTTGTGTCACTGCAGTGAACTACATAGGCACCTTACTTCTTATCTTCTGACCACTTACTACTCATTAATACTTCTGAGAATGGGTCAACGAAAGAACTGATGCAGAAAAAGAATCAATTTTGCTAATTATAACATTTTATTTTTAAGGTAGTTTACAGGGTTTTAATAATTTCAATGAGTATTGAAATTATCCATGCCCTCCCAATCTATTATGAAAGCTAAAATAAGAATTAGTTTTACAAAGATTTGGGCCCAATATATATGTAGTTGGATAATAAAAGAAAAAAAAGGGGGGGAATAATCTAATTTAAGGAAAAACAATGGGGATTCTCCTGGGATCCTCAGAGCTGGACTCCTAAGACATCCATTATCTTAACAGTAGCCATAGGAAGAGACAGATTTCTAAACATTTAAATACCCAGGTACACTTAAAGACACATGGCATATACTGGCCTAAGAAAAAAGAAGAAAACCACAAGGTGAAATCCAGAGTATTTGAATGGATGTGTACCAAGAGCCAGTAACCTTACTAGAAAAATGGTCACTGATATAACTTGAGAGAAAGGGCCATAGAGCAAATAGTGACCAGCTTATGTCAATGAGCTACACAAAAGTACTTAAAAAATAAATAAATAAATAAAATCTGCATTTTACTAGAAATGACTAGCTGGTGTCTTGATTTTGGTAGTGCAATAGCACCATTACAGCAAGGGTAAGCAGGTCAATCCCTTGCAAAACTTACCTTGATTGGCCCCATGGAAACAGAAGGCCCCAGAAAAGAGAGAAGCATCTGGCAGTAGCAAATTGTTTTATTTTATCTTTCTGTGGAAAGAAACTAATTTTAAATAAGAACCAGAGCATTTAAAGAATAAATATTTTTTAAAGCTCATTATCTAGTTAGAGCAGCTCTACTAAGAAAACAAGAAGAGCTCCTTGCTGCTTAGAGATGGAAAGAAACAGAAGAGGAATCAAAGTTGTTTCTCCATCACCTAGGGAGTTTTTAATACTTGCGTTATTCTAAAGTAACAAAATAAATGATTCTTTTATTTAAAGAACACCTACAGGCAGAATATTTGGGCCTGGTGCCTTTGAATAAAGATTTTTATACAAAACTAAGGGCTATATTCCAAATAAAAAATGAAAAGCACTTGACATTAAGCCCTTCTACTTAAAGTTAAGTAAAAAGAGAGACACAGAGCAAGCTCCTTTCTTCACTACAATTTCACCAATAACTTAAACCGTCAAGGCTTAAACGCTTATCAAAGTAAACTGAAAATTGGCACAAAGTTCATACCTAATTGACTGGCTTTCCAAAATATTTTGTTAGCCTATATTTTTCAATGATTTATTGAGATTCACAAATGGAAAGAAACCAGCCACCAAACTAATTTTAAGGAAGACTGAAAGCATTTAAAGAATAAGTATGTTTTTAAAAGCTCAATATCTAGTTAAGAGAAGCTCTACTAAGAAATATCATAGAACCTATCGGGGGCATAAAATTATTCATGGTAACTGAACCTGTTACCTTTCTTGAATGCTTCTCTAGGAACTCAGTTCTATTGAATTCACTGAGTATTAAAATCTTTTGATCCAAATCACTCCCACAAAATGTCTGTTTACAATTTATGCTGGAGATGGAAGGGACAGCTCAAAAGCAGGAGTGCAGAAGCAATAAGCATTAAAAGAAAATAACAACAAAATAGTGTAAGTAGAAAGTGAAATACCTATTTGGCACTGTCCTATTAGGAATCAAATTAGAGTAGAACCTACCCAACCTCCATGCCCACCCACACACCCACACACACACACACCCCCACACTCACATAAGGAAGCTGTTCAGAAACGAAATTCATTCTAAACGAAAGACCTAAACAATTGCAATTTTCAGATTCTATTCATTTACATAGTTCCCCAACATAAATTATGTTGATGTCAGATATTTACTCTTAAAACATTAACTTCAATTGACATACTTGTGGGAAAAAGTCATTAAACTAAAAAGCCTACATTTCCAGTGTTACTTTAAAAACTATTAAAACATACAAACAAAAACCTCTTAGTTTTGTTGTGGTTAAAGTAGTTCTTTTATACAGAAGACTTCATTATATTCAATATGGTTAGCGTCGTGATTCAACATTTCACTTATTTGAAAACATTGTTTTGGCATAAACTAATCCTTAAATAGCTACAAGTATTGACCCAGATTTTGAAATCTTGACACAATAATACAGCAGGCAAAAATAAATAAAAACAAAAACATTCTTACTTGACCCATTGGTGGACCTCCCATTGGGGGCATCATTTGCGGCATCATTCCATGTGGTACAGGAGGCATATTCGCTCTCTGACCCATTGGGTGCATTCCCATTGGGGCATAATGCATGCCAGGATGCCCCATCTGAAAAATAAGGACAATTTAGAAATTAGCACATAACAATAAATGCTTTTCAAAAACCTGACTTCAACAAATCAGTCAAGTGCAGTGATATAACATTAAGTGACATGACAGATGTGTGATTTAATTAGGTTAGTTTATACATTCTTACCTTAAACAAAAAGCACTACACCAATAATTATAATTAGCTTTCAACTAACCAAATTCCAGAACAAAATATAAAAAATTAAAAATTATTACTGGGCAGTTGGATCATAGTTTTATTTTTCTTTTAAAGCATGCTGATTTAATCAGTTGCTAATTGGCTTGTTAAACTCAGATGTGTATGTGAAAGCCAACTTAAAACTGTTAGGAAAACCACAACTTTGTCCTATTATCACACAAATATAAGACAGCCAGCCACTGTTATTTTATAAAGCTACTTATTCTTAATATTTAGTTCTAAACTGATTCTAAGCTTTCGAACGGTGAAATTACCAAATTAACTCAGATGAGGGCTGGTCTTATAAAACACAAATAGTATAGATATCCAGGGATACCTCATTCCTAACAAATATACATATTACTCCCAAATACAATCTTTATATGGGTAAAATTACTTCGGCCAAATTTTTTTTTAATTCCAGGACTGAGGTCTGCCATTCACACACTAAATGCAAACAACTAATTCATCCATTTTAATGCGCTTTTATTAGACAACTACTTCCTTTATCTGTGTGTCCATTGTTCCAGGTCTTAAAACCAGGTAATTGTTACCTGCCAACTCTCCCAGCTGTGCACCCCACAGACAGCACGACTAGTGATGGGAACACATCTCGGCAGACTCTTGCAAAGCCTACAGAATCACGTCTGCGCCTTCCCCTCTCCCCTAAGCCGGGCCTACCTCTCCGAGACGCTCACCACGCTCGGGCCCAGCACCTCCACCGCGCATCTGTCTAAACAGGGCCCACTGGGAACATCCAGGGTCCCACATATTTCTCTTTGTGAATCACCGCCCTCCATTTCTCTCCTTCGGAACATATCCCACCACTTCAAGTTCTTCCTTCGTCCACTCCTCTCCTTTCGGAGAAAGCTTCCTGTCTCTGTTTTTCATTGTGCCACTCCGATCCCTTACCGAGGGCCGTCTCCTCAGGAAGCCGTCAGCAGAGACCCAAGAGCTGGAGCAGAGGCTTGAGCCGGACAATCTCCGCTCCCCGTCCCCAGGACCCCGCGCGGGAGGATGGCTCTCCATTTCACTCACCATGAGGCCTCCACGCTCGGCTCCCGTCCCTGGCCTCATCGTCTGGCTCAGACTGCTCCGCCGGCGGCCACTGCCGCTACATATACCAACAAGAAGCGATCTGAGTGGCTGGCGCCCGCTGGGGCCAAAGGTTAAAGGCTGCCCGGCACTACGGGGCGGGATCAGCGGGGCCAATAGGCTGACAGGCTTTCCCGCTGTCCAATCAGAGTGCGCTGCTGACACGCAGCTCTGCGGCGATTCGCCCCCAGCCTCAGCCTCACTCGGCGTCGCCTGCATGGAGGGGGGATAGGGGGACGGAGGAAGTTTCTGCGCCGAGTCCTCTGCCGGAAAAACTCCACCAACTTCCCCCCGGGAAGGGAAGACAACCGTGTCCCAGCTCTCCGAGCTTTGACCGCCTCACCCCGTAGGGGGTGGGGCAGTGGGGACCTGCCACCTTAACCCCCCCGCCCGAGTTACGTACGCCCCACAAACCTGAGGCCACCGGGGGTGGGGTGGGGTGGGTGGGGTAAGAGGCTTCTAGCGTTAGCGAAGGCCCGGGCCCGACGCGCGCGCGCGGTGCTCGAGGCGGAGGGGAGGGGGCGGGGAAAGCCAAAGGAGGGGTCCAGAGGAGAGGGCTCGAGCTCCGTACGCACCAGCTGGAGAGCGCGCGCCTGGGCGGGAGGGGCGGGGGTAGAGGAGGCGTGTCGAGCAGCGTGGAGGGAAGTTGTGGTAGGGGCGGGGAGAACAATGCGAAAGGAAACGGGGTGGGAACTTAAGGCGAGGCGAGAGCGCCGGCTGGTGAGCTGCCGTTAGTGAGGGAAGCCGGGGAAGAGTGCAAGAGTAGAGGGCGAGAAGGGAGAAAGCAGATAGGTTCGGGAGTGTTAATCAGGCGTGCACAGGCGGGCGCTAGGACCGGGCTTCAGAAAGATGCAGCTTTGGGGCTGCCGGTGCCCGCGCTTGCCTGGCGGTGACGCGGCAGAGGCGGAGGTCTCTGGCCGAGACGAAGCACTGCAGAGAGAGGAGACTTGGCTACTACTGCCTTCGGCCTCGGCTCGCCTCCGGCCGCGCGCTCCCTTGCTTCCCTTCCCTCCTAGTGTCTGGGCGTCGTGCTCTGGTCCAGGGGTGTCCAGCCTCTCATCGAGCCCCGTGGCACCTTTGCCGCCCCACCGCGCACCCTTGCGCACCCCTGGGCGCCGGGGCCAGATGGTGCAGGCCTTTGGGGAAGCCGGCCGCTGGTTGGCTGCTGCGAGCTCGGGGCGGGGCGGGTGGGAGACACTGCACCTCCGCGCGTCTTGGTGTCTTTCCCGCCATGTCGTTCACCGAGAGCGCGAAGCGCTCCTCTTTGCAGCGCCGACGCCGCGGCACCCCTGTCCCTTTCGCTCGGCCGGTGTTACCAGCCTTTACTCAAGGGGACAGTTGGGGTGAAGGTGAAGTCGGCGAGGAGGAGGGATACGACCAAATAGCCCGCGACCTGCGGGCAGAGTTTTCTGCTGGGGCGTCGTCGGAGCCTCGAAAGGGCTCGCTGCTGCCGCCGGAGAGGGACGGGTCTCCAGTCCTGCTTGATAAACGCAACGGCATCTTCTCGACGGATGTGCGCCAAACCCAGGCTCGGCGGTGGCCGGTCCAGGTCCTCTCCATTCTCTGTTCGCTGCTCTTCGCGGTCCTCCTCGCTCTCCTTCTCGCCATCGCCTACCTGATCGTAAAAGGTACTGAAGGTCAGGCCTTGAAAAATCTGCCCAGAACACGTTGGGCCTGGACATGTCTCTAGCCTTCACCCTTCTCCCCAACAAAGGCAGGCGAGCTGGTGGCCGCTTTCACCCAGAGTCCTCGACTGCACCTTTCTTAGCTCTCCTCCGTTTTTCCTCACTTTTCTTGAAGGTGAACGGATGTCCCTGGTCCATGATCAGGAGACCCCCTTTTTTAAAAAGGACGTTACGTTAAACAAGATTTTAGAGTCAGTGAACACTTGAGGCGAAATTAAAACGCAGAACAACCATTAAAAGACGGTGAAAAGTGTGTGTAATTAAAATAGACTATACGTGTTCAAAGATTTTAATTTACAGGTGGTTAAAGATGTGCTATTCATCAATTCCTCTGCACACTCACAGAATTCCTGAAGGACAGGGATTTCCATCCCACAGTCCTAATTTCTACTTTTATAGGTAAAATAATTAGCCCTTCTCGGTATTGTATTAGGTTTGCAACCGATTGTAGCGAAACAGTTCTGTTGTAGGAGCTAGTCTGCAATAGAACTTTATCGCTCTCTGATTGATAGTTTTATTTTCCTGTGTCTGACCTTGACATATGGGCCAGATTTGAAAAGAAAGAGATGTGCCTTGAAAGGTTTTTCAAAGTTTATAGGGATGTACCATGTAGTCACAGTGGAAAGAATCAGACCTGCATTTAAGTCTCAGTTCTCACTCCTGTGTGACTTTGGCAGTTATTGAAAAAGAACAATTAAAGCAAAACTACCTTTGTTGTATGAAAAACATGCAACACCTTGTCACTCAAGTAATAGTTTTAGTTCAAAAAATATAATTAAATTTGTTTAATTCTAGTTTTTATTTTTCCTTGTTGCTTTCAACAGGACTAGTGGGCTGCAGGTGGCATGTAACAGCTTACTTACAATGTTTGATTTTCAAAGGAAACAAGTTGGCAAGTTTTAACTAGTCATACAATGATATTGGTTGTAAACTGTCAATGTTAAATATCTCTGTGCCTTGTCATTCCCTCAATCCCTCTCCTCCCTTTTTCACTGCAACTCAGAGATTTATCTTATAAGTAGTTTATTTCTCTTTTGCTCTGAGAGATGCCTTTTTTTATCATAAGTCACAAAACCTGGAAGTACATTGCAGAAGACTGAACTGTGCCTATTTTGGAGAATGGAGAAAGAGACTGAATTTAAAACCTAGTGTGCCTTTTCAGTTTGCATTACATGAAATCCCTTCACAACAACCTCAGGGAAGAAATATTCGCATATTCATATATATGGCAGTTGGACTCTACAGCCCTTTCCACAACACAGTGTCTTTCCAGTCTTTGAGCTAATGTTCAAATTATCTTTTTTACCCAAGCTCTTTGTATTTACAGAGTTACATGCTGAGAATTTGAAGAATGAAGATGATGTAGACACTGGATTATTAGGTATGTACTTAATTGTCATTTGATTTGATTTTGAGCTCACTGTTTTTCCAGATCATGTTTAAACTACAACAATTTGGATAAAATACTTAATATATTCCCTTGTGCAATTTTCCCAGTCTTAATCTTTTCATTTGCATATGTGTGTGGTAAATTTTATTTGATTTTCTTTTTATATACGTATAGGGTATACACACATATACACCCCATACATATGCAAAAAGAAAATATATACATATACACACTGGAAATATATTTTAAATACAACTGTATGTGACAAAAACCCAGAGAATACTTAACATTTTCTAAGTGCTGGAAGAGTCTCCCTGTACCTCTAACCAGGAATTACAAACAAGTAAAATTAACTTCCTCACAAACTTAGCAAAGATAACATCTTAAGCAGACCTCAGGAGAAATTTAAGTTCAGATTGTCTTATAAGTAACTTGTTTTTTAACAAATGTAAAAAGCATCGGACATACTTGCACAGTTTAATGATAACTAGGGAAGTTATCATTAAAAGTCATTCAAGTCAGACCTGAGTTTCTATAGAACGTTTGTTGAATGCTTTAATGAATTTTTTCCAGTGAAAAATTTGCGGGTTATTTATCTTGTATTTCTTTCTCTCTGCCCGAATGATTTTAAAAAGTTCAGAACTTTACCTGTCTGGCATATTTATTCTATTTGCTATAATTTATTTGATTAATCCCTCTTGGAGGAAAAAAATGATATAGATCCTATCCTGCCTGTCACCCCCTCCTCCAATCTTAGCAAACTGTTTACCTCTTCAAGGCCAGTGTCCTCAAGTTGATACAAAGTATAGTCTACCTGATTTTGCAGAAGGGGAAACATTTATCTTCAAATTCCAAACAAATTATTTTTGCTACATATCCCATGAAAACTTGTCTGTGCTGTTTTCAACTTCTTGCAGGAGAAAACATATTTTTATTTGGTTACTGGTTTTTTGTTTTGTTTTTTTAGAGAGAGTGGAAGGGGAGGAGGTAGAGAGAGAGAGAGAAACATCGATATTGAGAGAGACACATTGACTGGTTGCCTCCCGCATAGCCCTGGTCGGGCGGGAAACCTGTAGCCCAGGCACATGCCCTTCACCAGAGTCAAACCTGTGACCCTTTGGACTGGTGGGCTGATGCTCTAATGCTGAGTCAAATTGGCCAGGGCTAGTTACTCTTTTTTTTATCAGTGTATGTTGTATCTCTAAAAAAAAAAACAGCCAAGATTACATTTATTGATATGTCAGCTCTTGATGCAGTTGTGAAATTAACATGAATTCTAACTTGCTATTTAAAAGTTGGCAAGATTTCATTTTTATAGAAAGAATGAATGGCACTTGTCATCTGAAGGAATGGTTTGTTCAGTATCAAAAAGAAAATAATAGGGCTTTGTCATTGCTATGCTTGGTTTTCCACTTCTAGTTAAAATAGTCTGGTATTGCTTTTAGGTATGCTTGGTAGATATTTGACACCAAATAGGAAGATCATTATCTAAATCTTAACTAATGACATGAATTCACTTTCAAGATTCAGGAACAATCTCAGGAGTGAGGAGAAACTGCTGTGTCTTTGTGGCAAAAAAAACACTGAACAATAGTTATGCCAGAATAAAGATCCTTATTTTGAATCATTACTCCAGTGTTGAAATGGACTAATTCAATCATTTGAATTAATTTCCTGCGGATTAATTTTAAAACTAGCATAATTATACTTAGAGCAAATATACATAAGATGTGTGATAGAGAATGTTCATCTCTAGCAGGAGAATTAGGATTCTTAAAAAATCTTATTTCAGAGAAGCAGTGTCAAGATGATTAAGTTCTTACAAGGTGGAGGTGACGTGAGGTGACACTTGCCCTTACATTGTTCTCAGCTGGAATTTTCACTTGTTGGGAGACAAATACAAGTTAATGTCTTTACAGAATAATGTTTTGAACTGACTACTGGCCTCTAGTTAAAAGTTCACTTAGACAGCTGGTAGTTGAAAAGATAAGCCAGTTCTCTCTCAACTTGAGGCTTGCATCCAAATCACAGAATTGATTAATTCTAATTGTTGCATTAGCTTACCCCTGAGGAAATGCTTCCGAAATTACATCCTGCCTCTTTAAAATATAAAAGTTTTCACATAAACAATCCAGAATCTTTATTGTTGAAGTCATGTATAGAAAAGGCAGCAGAATGCAGCCTTTTATTAGCTGATACTAATTTGTTCTGTTTCAGTTGTATTTATTTTGCCTTATTTGCTAGGAATGTTATAGCTAAATGTGATGTTTTATTGTTTTATGTATTACCTTCTTTTTGTCATAATTACTATTGCCCATATGTGTTGTTATCAACATATTTCATTGACTTATGTTTAAATTTTATTGCAGACTGCCTCAGTTCTTTAAAATTAGGTTGGCCTTTACTTATTTATTTTTGAAAGTAGGTTGGATTTTAGAACAAATAATGTGGGTCCAGTAACTACCATGAAAAAATTTTCTTTCTAGACAGATTGATAAAAACTGCATACTGTATGTAAATCTTTTACTGTAAATAAGTCCTAGTCTGAAATTCACATAGCTTAGTAAGAGCAGATTATAGCAATGATTTTCATTATGGTATGTGTGAGAATCACCTGGACTTTCTTTTGCAAAACACCTCTAGATTTTGTTTCAGCCATTTTTTTTCAAGTGAGAAATACTTTTGCAGGTCCAGAATCTCTCATTTTTAATTTGTTAGGAGTAAAGTCTTAGAGAGTTGACAGATGACAGACTAACAAGAAACAGTGTGTAAACCCAAATGCCTGTTAAAAATCCTGACTTCCAAAGGAGCTAAGAAACTGCTGTTCTCTTGCCATCTGCCATTCTCTTGTCATCTTTGTTTATTGAAATAAGTCTTTATGGGAATCACTGTTTATAGTTTTTTATGTTGGATTGTCCTAGATTGTTTATTTGGTAAGAATTTTACAAACATTACTTATATTAGTGATAACGGTGGAACCGGAGAGTATTGAGCCTTCTCCAAGCCACGTGGCAAACACCACCAATAGTGTGGAACTGTGGCTCTTTCCAAGGCCACAGGTCTGTGGCCTGCAGATGTGAGTCCTCACATCTTCCTGTTTGTGGACTGGTTTGGTGATCCACTGGGTGTCAGAATTTCTTCTGATAGCCTTATGGAATATATCAATGAGGATAACCTAAAAGAATTTGTACATGGAATCTTCACCAAGCCAGTAAGAATTCAGGACTCTCAGAGACCCACAGTGGCGTCCAGCTCACTCCTCAGCAACAGACTGAAGGCTTCGAGCAAACTTTTGCTGGTTAACTCCATGATGAGCAGGCTTGCTGTAGGTCACACTCTTAGGAACAGGGCACATACAGCTACCATGGTGCACACGAATCTAATATATGATGTAACCTTGCTTGGCCTGGTATCCCAACCCATGCACTCTATCTGCCTGGGTGGGCCAGGGAGCTCAGAGAGCTGCCCACATGAGTTACTACTGAAACATTTTGCATTCTAGTCAGGATGGCCTTTCAGATTTAGCATCTTCTAGCCACAGGACAATCTACTGTTTCTATGACCCACTCAGGGCAGAGGCATCTGCAAGTTTAGCTCTGGGCCCATCTGCCAAGGCACTGTACATAGCTATAATCCGTCTCTGGTGTTGTGTGCTCTTTTCTTGATGGCTGCCAGGAAGTCCCAGGAGCACTCCCTCTCCCTAAATACACCCCAAGTGCAGGCATCACACATAACCCACTTTCTTCAAATGGAGGGAATCTTGATCACCTAAAGATAAAGCCCTTATTCTCTCCCTGTTCTACACAAACATTTTATCTATACCCGAGTCAATTTACTCTTCAAGACATTTTGAGTTTACCCCCCTGATTATATCTATCCCCCTAGTTCCTTTAATTGCAACATAAAAACAGAAGAGGCACTGAGGCTACTTCTTTTTTTTTTTTTTTTGCCACATCCTCCTTCTGGGGCAATGAACACAAAGTCCATTATCTCTTTAAAAGGGAGTAAGGGAAAGGGAACCATAAGGAGAAACAAAATTAGTTTAATCTTTCAAAAATACTTTGCTACAGTTTTTCTTAATGCTTTATTGCCCTGAGTTTGTCTTTTATCAGTTTTACCAGTCTATTAGTGGACTTCAGATGGTTTATAAGCAGTCTAATGTCCATATTTCTTACCTGCTTCTTGCTAAAATAAAGGCATCTTTGGTTGTGCAGGCAGGAAATTTGGTAATTAATAAGTCATTCTCTATTGTTTACTCAACCTCTCCTTCCTCCCTGTGCTACTGAGGCCTGGAACACACAATCAGTAGTGGTAACTTAGTCAACTCCTAAGAGGCAGTTTAAATGTGTATCTAAAAACCTTCAAATTAATGTATTCCCTCTATTTTGCCTGTGTTTATTCCCCGCCATTCTTCTAATCTTCAACCCTTTCTCCTTTCATTCCCCTAATGTAGTCACCATGGTTTTGACTTGATTTGAGAAAATGCAGGTCCAGTCTGACTGAAAATAAAATTTAGGATCCCAACCCATTTATAAAATGGGAGTTAATTTTTGTTCATATACTGAGCAAGGTTAAGAATCAGATTAAGCTTATGATGTTCATAGGAAAGCTATAAAGAGTAAACACTCTAAAATTGATTCATATGTTAAAAGTGCATGGTATGGAAAGAAATCATTTAGTGCTAAAGTAGTAAAAGACAGCAAGCTGTGATTCACAGAGTTATATGGAAAAAATGTTAACAGTTAAGTGTTTTCACCATTTTTTAATAGTTGAGTTTTATAAAACTGAAGATGAGTTATCTTCTAAGATGAATTTTTACTTGTTTCCAAATAAATTATAATTGAATTAAAATACTCAACAGACTTCCAGTTATGCTTCAGTATTATTTTAAACTTCAACATGGGTTAGCTTATACTAAGCTCTAATCTCTTACATCACGTATGATTCAGAGGATCAGAAATACACATGATCTGTATGTGAAGATTTTGGTTTAATTTAAATCGTTATGGTGTTAATAATTCAAGTTTTTTTTTCCCCTCTTTCTTCTCATTAAGGATTCTGGACTCTACTTATAATGTCCCTAACTGCTGGGTTCTCCTGCTGCAGCTTTTCTTGGACAGTGACTTATTTTGATTCTTTCGAACCAGGAATGTTTCCTCCTACTCCTCTTTCACCTGCAAGGTTCAAGTAAGCATACCTGTTTCTTCTTTCTTTTTAACCCATTCCAACTCTCATGAAAATACTAAAGCAAATAAAAGCAAGAGGCTGCTTATTTGGAAGATAATATATTCAGGCCCCAGTCTTTATAAAATATAATGACACAGGGTTTTAGCATGGCTCAGCCTTTAGATAAATGGAAAAAGAGTATTTTAAACTCCATACATAGATAATGCAACGGATTTTTAAAAAATAAATTCAAGAAATGAACTAAGAAGAAACTTAAATGGTTATTTGTCCTTTAGGGATGGCATTTCATTTAAAACACTTTATGAAGGCTAAATTAATATCAGCAATGTGAAACTTTTACTAGATGCATATATAAATGGTCAGACTTGTGACAACTTAATAATTGGATTGGGCTGTTCCTCATATTTAAACTTTGTCCAACAATTAGCAAGCATTTATGACACCCAATTTATATGTCTAGACTAGATTAGATCCACTTCATAGTGGTCTCTCTTTTCTGTTTCAAAGAGTTTCAGAAAATTCAGTAGGCAGTGTTCCCTAATCAAGTTTATTTATTCCAGGAAAGCTCAGATTTTAAATATAAATTTCCAGATAAGTGCTTCTAAGACATATATTTTATTATACAAATTGTGGTTGTTGGGTGGGGGGAGGGTGAAAGATGAAGAGTAGAAAATAAATTCTGTTAAAGATACATATGTTATCAGAGTATTATAGTTGTTACTATTGTTGTTACTGCCAGATCTAGCCCACCTAATGGACAGCTTGTAGAGATCAAATAAGAAAATCTATTTGAGGGACTCTAAATATGAAGTTTAATACTAATAGTAGTTGTTAATAATCATTGTTACTACTGGCCTTTATTAGTAAAAGGGAGTATTTTACTCATAGTAAACTCATTTTTATGTCTTACAAATATATCTATAAAAATTTTGGCTTCAGTGTAAATGAGTGTGTTTGTGTGTGTGTGTGTGTGTGTGTGTGTACATTTAAAACATCTTAATAAATCTTTATCTGTAGTATCTGGAACATAAGTCTTGTACTTGCCCATACATTTTATGTTTTTGAGATGGATAATTCATAATCTAAATTGACTAAGTTGTACCTAACAGTGCGATAAATCCCATACATGGGTACCATTCAGTTGGAAAGTTTATTTTGCTAAGTGATACAGTGTTCAATTCGAATGCATATTTTATTATTGTCCATTGACATCAATTACTTTAACAAGGGGTGTGAGTCTAATATAGATAATATCATGACATTTTATAGTCACAAAAATCTTAAATCTCCTTTTTTTTTCTTTAACAACTTATATCTCACTTGTCCCCTGAATTCCAGCCCTGCATTTCCAGCTATTTAATAGATCTTGCAGCCTAGATTTTAGAAAGCACCTTGCACTTAGAGATATTAAAACTCTAAGTCTATCTTAGCAGTATCCACCCGCTTACCAAGGCTAATGAAGTCTGTCTCCCAAGTATAGCACAACAGTGCTTCCCCAATTGACCCTTTTCTGCTTTTCCAACTTCAGGTATTTCTCCAACACACCCTATACTATAGTTACATATTAGGTTACCTTGGCAACCCCAAATAAATTACTTACTTTTGAGATGCCATGACTTTACTTGTACAGCTCTCACTTCCTGGAATGTCATTTTCCCTCTCAGCTTCTCTTCCATCACCACCAGAATTCATAAGCCTCATAGATGTTAGAAGCTTCTGGAGTTACAGAAAAGCATTTCATTGTTCTCTTAAAGATCTGGAATTCTGAGGGCATTTAACTAATTTCTTAAAAATTATCTTTGCATGTTTTAGAAACTAGAACCAGTAGCGATGGACAATTTTCATTGTATTTATTAATCATTCAATTTTAATACGAGATAGTGTCATATCAGAAACTTAGATTAGATATTTCTTAATACAGCCCTAAAAAAGTTTTTAAATATGTGCATTGCATATAATATATTTGAATTTCTTTCAGTATATAAGTAGGGGTAAGTTAATTTTATAGATGATAAGCTATTAAATAGTTCATGAGAGTTAACCTATAATTTAAAGATAGTGTGTTAACAGAAGCACAGACCCAAAGGCATTAATAAGCATGGTGATAGTTGATCTTATATTAACAGAATAAGACAGACAAAAAAAGGCATATAATGTAGTGATAATTGGTGAAATTGAATTCATAGTGAAAACCCTGCCATCTAGTGCTTGTGGAAAATCATGCAATTGCTTCAGAAATGTCAGAGTAAGTGTATTCTCTAAGTCACCAGTAGAGTGAGTACTTGTACAGGGAAACAACTTTATCTTTTGAGAAAGTTAAAATCTGCAAGCTTTATTTTCTTTTTTTTAATCCTCAGCCGAGGATATTTTTCTATTTATCTTCAGATAGAGTGGGGGAGAGAGAGAGACAACATTAATGTGAAAGAGACACATTGACTGGCTGCCTCCCACACTACCCCAGCCAGGGCCAGGCTCAAACCAACTGCAACTGAGGTACGTGTCCTTGACCGGAATCAAACCTGCAACTGATTGGTCCTCAGGTCAGTGCTCTAACCACTGAGCCAAACCGGCCAGGGCTTCAAGCTTTATTTTCTAAGAAATTGAATTGATAATTTTATTAATTTGCAACATTATACTTTCATAAATATTTTTGTGATAAGTTATATATTCTTTTATTAGCTAAAATAAACATTGATATTAGTACAAGTGTTTTCCCTGATTATATAAAACTACAGAAGTTCTTTTTTGAAAATTCAAAACACAAAAAGAAATAAAACAAAAACCCATTATCAGGGAAAGTAACAGTCAATATTTTGATGTATAACTTTCCATTCTTTGCATATTTTATTTTTATTTTTTTAAATCCTCACCCAAGGGTATTTCTCCATTTATCTTCAGATAGAGTGGGAGGGAGAGAGGGAGAAACATCGATGTGAGAGAGAGACATCAAATGGCTGCCTCCCCCATGATCCAGACCAGGGCCGAGGACTGAACCCCAAACAAGGTACATGACCTTGACCAGAATCGAACCTGCAGCTCTTTGGTCTGCAGGCTGATATTTTAACCACTGAGCCAAACCGGTTAGGGTCATTCTTTGCATATTTTAAAAATTGAAATTGGGCCCATTGCTACTATACCATCAGTAGTATATTCTGATGCAGACTGTTGATCCCACACAAGAGTATTCCATCCCACAGGCTAAACTAGGCCCCCAGCAAGATGCAGAATTCTAAACTCCATAGGGAACACCAGTAGTGAAAACCCAGAAGACCATCCTAATGTACCCCTGATGGGTCACTGAGGGAGCCCACAGAGTCACACTACCAATAAATATTAGCTCATCCTTCCTTCTCTCCTTCCTGGTTATTTCCATCCATCTGGACTTTTCATCAGAAAACGACCTTTTCAAGCATAATTACAATCTTGCTGGGAACCATACCTATGTGTCTCTTCATTCGTGTAACTGAAAGATTCCCTTCCTTAGCAGTGCTAGAACAGATTGGCTCCTCTTACTAATGGGACCTAAATACTTTGATCTGAAGAAATTAGGGTCATTGGAATACTCTTCTAGTGATTTTTTATAAAAGGCCCCTATACATGAGTGACCCAGCATTTGTGATAAAAGGCATAGCAGAATCCTCAGGATCCCCACAATTGGGCATTTTAAATAATGTGAACATTTCATAGATTTGCAAACTGGCAGGCTTTCTTCCATAGTGTTTGTACCTAGGGACAGTGAGTATGACAACAGTTGTAGCTGAGGTCAGTGACCTGCTTTGATGAACCAGTAACAGCAAAGAAAGGGCTACCCCATTTGATGCTCATGAAGAATTTTAGGTAATGCATGTAGAAATCAGAGTCTACCTGTCTTGATGTTTCTAATGAACCAGTACCTCTGCACTAATTACTTTGCCTTCATTCCTCATGCAGCCTCACATCCTTCCCCATGGATTCATCTGTCCTTAATAGCCATTTGTTATATGTAACAGGCAGAACAGGACCAGAGTCAGAGGTGTGCTGCCAGAAAGCTTCCAAGCATCCAGTTAGCTCTCTGACCTTGCAGATAAGGACAAATGGAATGGCTTGCCCCAAATCACACAGTAGTAGTGGTGGACCAGTTTTTCCAATGCATAGACAACTCTTTTTTCCTACTCCAGGAGCCTTCTCTATGCCTGTATTTCTATATTAACAAGTAAGGTGTGCCCCTCCCCTGAGAACCAAAAGTGTTATTTCAGACTAGTGGCAGTTGAGTGCCTGCTGTGTGTAAGATCTTTGAAAAATAGCTGAGACTACAGTCGTCCCTCACCACTTGGTGCTTCGACTTTTGCGGCTTCACTCTATTACGGTTTTTTCAAGTATAGTATAGTATAGTATAGTATAGTATAGTATAGTATAGTATAGTATAGTATAGTATTTGAAAAAACCGTGATAGAATGAAGTCACAAAAGTCAAAGCACGAAGTGGCGAGGGACGACTATATATAAATAAAGAATCCTACTTCGCAGAAATTCATTTATCATGGTAGAGTCTGGAACTGATTAACCACAGTAGATGAGGGCCGACTGAATAGTGTTTGAAAAAAAACTGTGATAGAGTGAAGCCACGAAAGTCGAAGTGCGAAGTGGCGAGGGATGACTGTATGTAAATAAAGTATCCTACTTTGCGGGAATTCATTTATCGCAGTAGAGTCTGGAACTGATTAACCACGATAAATGAGGGCCGACTGTATATAAGAAAACCTTTTGGTTTTTATTGATTTTTTTTAGAGAGGCAGAGAGAGAGAGAAACATCTGTTTCCCCCTATGTGACCCCTACTGGGGATGGAGCCCACAGCCTGGGCATGTGCCCTGACCGGATATCGAACCGGGACCTCTCAGTCCATGGGACAGGGCTCAATCCACTGAACCACACTGGCTGGGTGAAAAAAAGCCTTAATGACCAGTGTGCAGCATGGGTTTTTCAGCATCAATGAGTATCCCCTGAGCATGTGCAAGGTACCA